AATCTCAGTGACTAAGGTTATCCAAGCAGTAGTCCACCATACTAATAAATGTCTGAAGTTAATGGCCACTTTGAGTACCTCTTATAACTACAGAGGCCAAAGGTAACTAGTATTAACCTCATGATATTTCAATACGTTTAGTATTAAAGTATTTATACAAGCTTGTTTCCCTCAATGTATATACATTTCTTGGCAAACTTCATACATACACATATATGTAGTTTGAAGATAAAAACTATATCTTTTTTTGTTGTTGATATTTTGAGACAGGGTCTCAACAATGCAGTTTAGGCTGGTCTTATGCTCAATTTGTAGTCCAGGCTGGTCTCGAACGTATACTGTAATCATCTGTTTTGTCTAGGTTTAGAGATTATAATTCCAAAGGAGAGTATTTTGAATTTGTGCCTCCTTATGTTATTCACAAAGTTCTGAACCTGAATGCATATGCCTTTATGTAAAATCCATTTTAAAAAATGTAATGAGGGAGCCCGCAGATTTAGCTCAGCAGCTCAAGGGCTTGCCTGATAAGCATAAGGTCATGAGTTTGATCCACAGAAACAAACTATACACACACACACACACACACACACACACACACACACACACAATTTTTTCAGGCTGGGTGTGGTGGCACATGCCTATAATTATAGCCCTTGGGAGGCTGAGGCAGGAGGAACCTTGCAAGGTCATCGCCAGCTTAGGCTACACAGTAGGCTCAAGGCCAGCTTATAATACAGAGCAAGATCCTGTCTCATAAAAAATACATTTATCAATTTATAAAAAATTTTATTTATACACAACTGTACCTTAAAAGTACACATCTTGTGCTGAGAATGTAGTTTAGTGCTAAAGCCCTTGATGGAGTACATATAAGGCCTCAGATTTAATACCCAGCACTATAAAAATACATAAAACATGTCCTGTACCCTTTAAATTCTTACTATATTAAAAACTCTGCTGTCTTTATATATCAGTATGAAGAATGCTCACAAAATGGGTGGCTGCTGCACACTGTGTCTCACACCTATAATCCCAGCACCTGAGGAGAGAGACTGAGACAAGATGGCTGTACATTTGAGGCCAGCCTAGGCTGCACAGTGAGTTCAAGGCCAGCCTAAATTACATAGTGAGAGCTTGTCTCACAGAACAGAATACAGCAGAACAGAACAAAACAAGGTGGCTATGAAACAGGGATATGAAGAGAATTTCAAGATCCTATCAAGGCCAATGACCTTAACATGTATACAGTTTAGCTGTATGTTCTTTTTTTCTTGTTAATTCTTTCATCAATTACTGACCGTTTTGGGGGATAAACAAAAGGTCTGAAACTATATAGATAACGAATCCTGTAGAACAAAAGACCAACAAATAGAACCACAGAAATTAAGGAAAAAATGTGATCACAGTACTAAATTTTCTTAGAAGTATTATCTGTGAAAATGTCTTTGATTATCTGATAAATCTACATTGACAAGCTGTTTTAAGATGCACAAGGATCCCAAAGTCAAACTCAACCCAGGCAATGTACGCTTTGTCTCAAAATAAGTTTAAAAATGCAGCCGGGCATAGGGTTGCATGCCCTGTAATCAGGAAGCTGAGGCAGGAGAATCACTACGCAGTCAAGGCCAGCCTGGGCCACAAAGTGCATCCCAAGGCCAGCCTGATCGGCATAGCAAAACCCCGTCTCAAAAAGACCCCTCCTCGTGTCCCCACAAAAATGTAAAATATAGGCAGGGGCTGGGAATGTAACTCAGCACTCTGTTCAAACCCCTAACTGGAGAAACATGCAAGGACCCTAGTGTATCACATCCATCTGTGTAAAAAAAGTGTAGGCTTTTTAAAAATTTAATTTATTTATATATATTTTTTTTTGTCTTGAGACAAGATCTCACTATGCAGTTCAAGTGGGACTTAAGCTCACTTTGTAGCCCAGGCTGGCCTCACAATCTTCCTGCCTTAGCCTCCACAGTGCTAGGATGACAGGAATGTCCCACCACACCCACACATACAGCAAACTATTGATAGCCACAAATGTATGCAGCTAGAGAACACAAACACATGCAGTTCCCTATGCATGTCCATCATCTTTTCTACCCAAGGAAGACTTCAGTGCTAATCACATCACACTTTCTCCACAATCATGAAACTTCTCATATAATCTCCCAGTACAGTACAAACCAAGGTAGGCAGGAGGATAGGATTGTGGTGAGTTTCAGGCCATTCTGGGAAGCACAGCGAGTTCAAGGCCAGTCTGCACTATTAAGACCCTGTCACTGAGTGGGAAGACCCTTTGGTTCAATTTCTACTACCAATGAACAAGGGCAGGGACTTAAATAAATTTACTGTTGTCTCTGACAGCTATTTTCAAAACACTCTTCACATCAACTATACGAAGAACCAGAAATATACACACATTTACTGTTTAATACATTTATAATAAACTTTGAGTTGTTTCCCAAATGCAAAATACTATTAAAATTTAACTTTTTTCTCTCAAAGAAAATAAAATAGAATATGGCCAAAACAAGTTTAATAAGAAAAAGTTACTTTTTTAAAAACTGTAATCTTGTCAAGCATGGTGGTACACACCTGTAATCCAAGCACTCAGGGAGGCTAAGGCAGGAGAATCATTCCAAATTCGAGACCAGCCTGGGCTACAAAGTGGGCTCAAGCCCAGCCTGAACCGCATAGCAGACCCTGTCTCAAAAAGATCAAAAATAAAAAAATAATAAAAATAAAAACTTTAATCTCCCCCTCACACTGGGTGTGGTGGTACACATTTGTATATAATCCTAACTACTCTAGAGGCTGACACAGGTGGATCACAAGCTCCAGGCTGGTGTGGGCAATTTAGTGAGATCCTGTCTCAAAATTTAAAAGGGCTGGGACTATACCTCGGTGGTACAGTGCTTGCCTAACAGATGCGAGATCTGGGTTCAATCTCTAGCACATGTTCACAAAAAGTACACCCCTCCCTGTATCACTATGAGCTCTGTGAAACTAATATTTTTTTTTTTTTTGGCAGTTTTACTATGTTTGGGTAGTGAGGATTGAACTACATCTCTAACTCTAGCACATCATTTTTGACCCACTGAATGTAAATACCAGAGACAGTCATTTTTTCTAAAGTATCTTTAAAATTAAAAAACCAACATGCCATTAATGGATAAAAATATTGTTACTGTGTAAAAAACTAGTTTTCAAATATTGAGTAAGAAAAAGAACCACTAATTTTTTTTGTCTTTTTCGTTTTTATCAGCACCAGGGATCAAACTCATGGCCGCACACTTGCAAGGAAGGCACTTATGCCGCTGAGCTAAATCCCCAGCCCCAGAACCACTAATTTTGTTCCTGCAATTTAAAAGTAAACTGTAAAGGAGCCAGGCATGGAGAGGAATGCTTGTAATCCCAGCATCTGGAAAGGTAAAGCATGACTCGGAGTTCAAGGCCACCCTGAGCTACGTGGTTAAGACTCTAGCTCAAAAATATAAACAAAGGAAAAAACAGTCAATTTTAAAACACATACTACAAGGAGTAAATGTGAATTTTGTCACTTTCCCCCAAAAAGGATTTAAGAAAGACTCCAGGGGAAAATAAATCATGGTGCATGTTTGTAATCCCAATACTTCAGGTGGTTGAGGCAGAAGGATGGAAAATCTAAGACCAGTCGGCGCAATTTAGTGACTTGGCAAAACTGTCTCAAAAATCAAAAATGGTTGGAGATGTAGATCAGTGTGAAAGCCCTGGATTTAATCCTCACTATAAAAGGGAGGTGAGGTGGACAACAGATCCCTGGTACTCTAGGATCCCAACCAAAATAAAGAACTGGAAGATATATAAGTATTGTGGTACTGCCAGGTGTAGAGACACAGGCCTATAATCCCAAGAGGCTGAGGAAAGAGGATTTTCAAGGTCAACCTGAACTATACAGTTTGAGAGCTTGTCTCAAAAACAAAAAAGCTAAATTACAGTATAGCCAAGTATGGTAATACACACTGTAACCCCATCTCTTCTGAAGACCTACAAAAGATCTCTAGCTCAAGGCAAGCCTGGGCTCAACTCTGGGTGAACCTGTCTCAAAAAGCAAATTTTAGTTGGGTATGGTGACACACACCTGTACTCCCAGCACTTTCCAGGCTGAAGCAGGAGAATCATCAGTTTGAGGCCAGCCTCAGCTCAAAACAAACAAATGAACAAAATTGGGGGCTGCATGCCTATAACCCCAGAAATTGGGCGGTTGAGGCAGGAAGCCTGCAGCAAATTCAAGGCCACTCTGAGGTATAAAGTGAGTTCAAAACCCTAGGTAGTGGAGGTCGGCAATCCCAGTACCCAAGACTCTAATGAGGCAGAAGGATTGACAGGAGCCTGGGTTCCACTGAGTTCAAGGCCTGCCTGAAATTCCTAGCAGAACCCACCTAATAAAACACCTAAAGTGAATTAAACCTGAACTACATAAAAACTCTGTCTCCAAAAAAACACTTAAAAGCTGAAGCTCAGGGGCAGAGCATTTGCCTAGCAACCCTAGCAATTCTTACCCTGGGTTCCACCTCCAGCAGTACCCCCTCAACAAAACTAAATGAATAGAATACGGCAACGTTGCCAGACTGCAATAATCAGAATAAACACGTATAATCAACCTTGCCCCTTCATCAGGCAAACTTTTGAGTCAGAAAACATGATACCAGCCACTTGCTATCTGAGTGGTTACTGTGGAAAAACCTTTAGGGACAAATAGTAAAGCGGCATTTGGCCTATGTCTCCAGGGCAGTTCTGCCGTGTGCAATCTGTTCACCAATGCTAAATAGTAAACAAAAATGCACTTACTGCACAAAGACTATCTTATAGGTTGGGGGTGTGTCTAAAAACTTAAAAAAGTTCTCCCAGAGCATGTAAAGCAAACCACTGAAAACAAAAAAGCGGGGACACAACCAGAAACCACTTCCACGACGCCGGCGGCAGGCAGAGGCGCCGGAAGCGGTGCCGGCACGGCTGGTCCTCACCTCCTGGATCCGCCTCCGGGCCCGCTGCAGCACCTCCTCGTAGCCCTTCTGGCGCAGCTCGCTGAGACTCTCATAGTACTCCTCGGGGTCGTCGGGTTCGGTGAAAAGCACCTGGGACAGGATCTTCCAGCCGCAGGTATCCAGGCCGTGACCCAGGTAGACCTGTAGCTGGAGGCACAGAGCGTCCACCTCCTGCTCGGTCATCTCGGGGGCGCCCCCGAACAGCACGGTCCACATGCCGGAGGGCTCCTCGGGGAACACAGGCAAGCAGGGCTCCAGCTGCGAGTTCACAGAGCACAGCTGCTGGTGCACGGCGCGCAGGTCCTGGAAGGAGAAGAGCCCGGCCCAACTGCACTCCTCGCCCGGCGGCTCAGGCTCTGCGCCCGCGTCCAGCACCTCGATTTCTTCGGTGGCCGCCCCGCAGGCGCTCAGCACGCGCACCGTGGCCGCCGGCGGGGCATCTCCAGGCTCCGCGGCCCTGTGCGCTGGGCTACTGCCAGGGCTCCCCGCCCCTCCACCGGCCGCGCTCCAGCGGGGTCCCAGACTTCGGGCTGGCGTGGCGGGGGCCGAGACCTCGGGCCGGGCCGGCTCCCGGGAACCGCTGCGCTGCCGCTGCGCCGTCCGGTTGTGGCAGGTGATGGCGAACTTGCCCTCGATCTCGTTCCAGGCCACGATGAAGACGAACTTGTGCTTCTCGCGCTCGTCGAACACATGGGGCCGCACGGCCACCCAGTCGGCCTCGAGCGTCTCCTCCAGCGCGAAGGCCATGGTGTCGCGCCACCCCGTCAGCCACGCCGGGCGCCCGCAGCCATCTTGGCCGCTCCCCCTCCCCGTTCCGCCGACTGGTGCGGAGAAGACAAAGCAAGCGCCGCGAGGTCGCTCGCCCGCCCGCGCCCCGCCGAGCGCTCTCGGGGCGAGGCGGCCACCCGCGCCTCAGGGCTGCACTCCCGGCAGCCCTCCCGCGCGGAGCTGCCTGCCCAACAGAAGCCGCAGCTAAGCTCCGCGTCTCAGCCTCGCCACAATGTTGCCATAGCCTGCTGACGTCGGCGCTCCACGAGGGACGTAAACACGGGCACGTGCCGCACGCGGTGACGCAGCCGCCGCGCGCCGCTCAAGCCCCGCCCTCTAGCGCTCATCTTGGAGCGCAGAAGCAGCCGCAACGGCGAGGGCGGGCTTAACCACCCGGCTGGAGTCCCGGGAGAGGAAAGGGCGCCTTGGGATGCCGCTCTCTGCTGCCAGCGCCAACTAAAATAGGCTAGGGGACCCAGTGACGGAGAGACGCCCTCACCCCGCGAAGGGAAACGCCGCCGAATCCCAGGACACGGCCACTGCTACCTCTTCCATCTCGGTTCCTCGGGTGTATCTCCTAATTTTCATCCTGTGTACTGTTGGGAACCGGCACCGGGCCCAGCCTGCTTGACTTGCGGTTCAGTTGTCACAGCTGCCAGATTGCATGTGCACAACGTCTGAGCAGCCAAGCCTGCAGGTCCTACCAGCACTGGGAGGCTGAGGCCCATGGGAGGCTGATCTCTGCCAATTCAAGGCCAGCCTGGGCTACGTGGAGACCAAAAAAAAAAAAAAAAAAAAAAGGGCCGCCTGGGCTATGTCGAGACCAAAAAAAAAAAAAGTAACTGCTAAAAAGTTTTTCTAACAAAAACTACTGATAGACCTTACCTATCAGTAGTTCTCTTCAACACACTGTGAACCCAGAAAACAAGTACTAAAAGTATATAAGAAATATTTTAGAACCAAGCATGGTGATTCACACCGGTAATCCCAACACTCAGGAGGCTGAGGCAGGAGGATCATTATAAATTCGAGACCAACCTTACTACAAAGTGAGCTCAAGGGCCAGCCTGAACGGCATAGTGACTATATATATATATATATATGTAATGTGCATGTAATTAAAATTATAATGCTTAGCTACACAACAAGTTGCACATTACTGCACACACAAAAATATTTCCCCCAATACTCTAGCCACTGTGTTTTGTCCAAAGAAATGTTTTGACATTTCTTATTTCCTCTATTTTAGTAACTTATCTTTGAAATGAAAAGAAACAAAAACAACGTTTCTAGGTACTCTACAATTCTTTGGGTTACTGAGATACTCTACACTTTTTTGGATCTTTATCTGGTTGTCAAACAAGATATCTAAGAATATAAATTACTCTCTGGGAATAAGTAAAACTACAAAAGATCCATATACACTGTACTAGCTTTGAAAGGACTTGAAAATTATTATATTTGAAGTTTTTTAAAAAACAGTTGAAGATTGTTTGATAATCCGGGAAATTTTTTTGAGACAAGATCTTGATATCTAGGCTGGCCTTGAACTTGCTTTGTAGCCTAGCCTGACCTCAAACTCATATCCTCCTGCCTCAGCCTCCTGAGTGCTGGGATTACAGGCATGTGCCACCATGCCCAGCATTTATGACTTTTTAATAAAACTTTTTAACTAAAACCTTAGGCCTTTTTAAAATTGCATAGCAATTTCTTGAATATGCTCATGTTATCCTCACAGTTACCATGTGATGCATGAAAAGAGTAAATATCTTTAATTTTGAGTGACAGTCCATGGTCTATGAAGGGCTCTCTGGGAGAAGCGACTTCATTTTGCATCCTCAGAGCAAACCTTCTCTAAGTGACTCACAGATGAGATGGCAAACCAGACCCAAGGAAATAGCTGCTCCTGTGAGGAAAGTGTCAACTCTTGCAAGAGGAAAGAAAAATTTCCTGTGCCTTTTTCCTTTAGTCCCCAGGACTGCTGAGTCTTCTCAAAGGATAATGCTGCATTAGAGGTTTAGCACTACGGTCATATGCCAACTGATTGAATTTTCAAAAAGCCAAAAATGGCTGGTCTGTCGTGGTGAGCAAGAATCCATGCTTGGGCAGCCTGCGGCCCTGCCCTTGGCTTGTGTCGACCATTTTGGCCAAGTTATTTTGTTCACGGGACCCAGACCATACAGGGCTTTCTGATGAGCACTGGAGTGATTAAAAAGCATTTACAAGCCAGGTACAAGCAAGAAGATAATAAATTCAAGGCCAACCTGGGCAATTTGGCAAGGCCCTATCTTACTGACCAAGTGGTGTATAGAGAACCCTTTCTTGTCCTGTCTCGGTTCAAGAAGGTTTATAGTTGTAATCCCAAGGAGGAGTTATTGGAATTCTAGTGAGTCAATTCCAATCTACTACTTTCAGTGCAACCCACAGTGAGAATGAAGACACTAAGACGTATGTACAGTTGTGTCGAGCCAAAGGGTCCTAAATCCAGTCAGGATGGTGGTTCACTGGAACAAAGGCTATGATGCAGAGCCCTTCCCATATTTTATTAATCCTCCATGAGGGGTGTGGCTGGGGGATGAGTGACAGAGTGGCAGGAAATATGTGACTGCCATAGTTGGGCTAAGTAGGAGGCTGAGATCACCTCTGTGATATGCAGAGGGCAAGAAATGCAGAGAGAGCAGTCTGTATAACAATTGAGGCAGTATCTAATCATTTGGGGTCAGTGCTTCAGTCCTGATGTACAGCCCTTTTTGCCCTGGGAAGTTGTAGCCTCTTTCTTGAGGCTTGGTGCCAACCGACAGCACAAAGCATGGTTCTCCATCCCACCTGGCTCAACCATGTATTTGAGAAGTCACTGGCTGGAGTAACACTGACCTGTCACTTTGCTTTAAGATTATACATCATCTCCTCAGTTAACCCAGTTTACATTGCTTATAGCCAATTGAAGGGACAAAGACCAGCCAGTTCTGTACATATCAGTACATGGAAATAGAGCCAAATTTATCCAAAATGGAGATAGTTGCTCTTCTTTTCAAGGAGAGTTGTTCCCCACAGTGATGTGATGCATGCCCATAATCCCCAGGTCTCAAAAGGCTGAGGCAGGAAGATCATCATGAATTTGAGGCTATTTAGTGAGTTCAAGGCCAGTTTGAACTACATAGTAAGATTCTGTCTCAAAAAACCCAAAAGAATAAAATATTTAAAAATTTTTTGGAAACAGGCTTGCTTTGTAGTCCAGGCTGGCCTCAAAGTTGGTTCAGTCCTCCTGCCTCAGCACTGGGATTACAGGCATGAGCAACAATGTGGCCTTGCTCTATGACCCCAGGGGCCTGGTACTGGATTCTTTTTTTGGAGGAGGGTCATCATTAAATTCACATCATCACTTTTCCTGCTCCTGGCATCTGGAATCACTAGAAGTTGGGATCCTTTGTCCTAAGGAGCAGAGTTGCGAGGATTGCTTCAGAGCTGTGTATTTTTGGTTCCCACTCAGAGCTGGCAGCCTGACCTACAGGTTTGAGAAGTTCTAGGTGTGCAGTGCTGGCCTCTGCGCTTCCTTCCTTGTTGTGGGGAGCAGCTGAAGCTGGAGATTGCTCACGCCTATGGGGGTAAACAAGGCCAGCCCAGAAAAGGTGGAAAGCCTGAAGTAAGCCAGGTAAACAAGCTGACCCAGCTCAGAGAAGTCAGGGGGCCCAGGGAACCAGGCACACAAATTGCTAGGCAGAAGATTGAAATTAATGTGAATCTCCCAAGTGTATAATTAATAAAGGTACCTGGGTTGAGCAGTTCCTTTCCTCCCAGCCAGAGAGAGAAGGCTCCACCTGACTTGTTTTCTGTCTTTATCTTTTTTTTTTTTAAATCTTTTTAAGACAGTGTCTTATTATGCAGTTCAGGCTGGCCTTGAACTCACTTTGTAACCCAGGATGGTCTTGAATTTGCAAGGATCCTCCTGCCTCAGCCTCCCAAGTACTGGGACTACTGACATGCACCACCACACCTGGTTTTTTCTGTCTCTTATCTTTTATTTCCCCATGCTATCACTTTCCTCCCCACTAGAAACTTCCAGAGCTGCGGGCGATGCTGCATCTTCTAGCAGTGAGCTGGATTTTTAAGGGAAGCCCCTGTGTGCACCTGTGTGCACACTTTACACTGCGTTCCCGTGCCCGCTTGCATTCCCTCTAGAACCCCTGAACCATGCCAAGTACTCAGCACATTGGCACCCTGTTACTTGTCCTTTTGGATCAACAGGATGGTGTTGATGCAGCAAATCAGCTTAATCTGGATGCGCAGATGGCCCAGATGTTGTGGGCAGTGTTGTGACAGATGGCTAGAGAGTTAACATGGCTGGAAGCAAACTGTTTCCAATCTTTTTTCCTGGCTGAGATAGGCACAAACAATTTGCCACTTTAATGGTTTCAATCTGCACACCAGAGATCACGTTATTTGTCCTGGCAAAAAGGCTGTTTTGGGACTGATCTAGCAATCACCCCAAGGCTCATCAGATTCTGCAAAGGCCCAGACCAGCAAGCTGAACACAAACCTGAGAGGGGCGCTATGAGAGGGGCACTGGTCTCCTCCACTCTCCGAAGGGTTGTGGCAGGCAGAAAGACAGCAGTGAAAGCTCCAGTAGGGCTCTCCCCGCCGTGGTGACTCTCACCTCCTTGTCCAGCGGTAGGTAGCTTGAACAACCTGCTGCTTGTGTCCACTCCAGCTCTGTGTTAGAGGACAGGCGACGGTACCAGGTGACTTCACAGGCCCCTTAGACTCATACTTTTGCCCAGAGTCCACTTACAACCTGCCCTCGTTTCCTTTCCAACACAGCACATCACAAAGTTCCAGGCATTCGTAGGACCAGTGTAAGTGTCAGGAACGTTTCCTATAGTCCTTGAGATATCTAAGCGTTCTCATTGTCCAGCAAGTTCAAGTTCAAGTACCTGGCTGAAAATCCCTTTGTTGTTTTTATTTGTTTGTTTCCTGAGTCCAAGCTGGCCTTAAACTCACGATGTAGCCCATACTGCCCTCAAACTCATGGTGATCCTCCTGTCTCAGACCCCATACTCAACTCTCCATTGAGCTTTTTTTTTTTTTTTTTTTTTTGTCTTTTTCATTTTTATCGGTACCAGGGATCGAACTCACGTCCGTTGAGCTTTTGATATCAACTTACTTATGCCTTCAGGGCGACATTTAAATTGCCTTTGCATTCAAATTTAGGGCTACATGTCTGACCACATCCCTAATCCGCCCCCACAGCTCTTTTGGTTCTCAG